GAGGTTAAGACTTGTGAACTTCAACTCCCAGAATTCCAGAGGTTAAGACTTGTGGACTTCAACTCCCAGAATCCCAGAGGTCAAGACTTATGGACTTCAACTCCCAGAATCCCAGAGGTTAAGACTTGTGAACTTCAACTCCCAGAATTCCAGAGGTTAAGACTTGTGGACTTCAACTCCCAGAAACCCAGAAGTTAAGACTTATGGACTTCAACTCCCAGAATCCCAGAGGTCAAGACTTATGGACTTCAACTCCCAGAATCCCAGAGGTTAAGACTTATGGACTTCAACTCCCAGAGTTCATGGCTGGCTGGGGAATTCTGGGAGTTGAAGTCCACATTTCTTAAAAGTTGCCAAGTTTGGAGATCTCTTGATTTTTGCTACGTATATTCCTGAAGGGACGCCTGCGTTTGTCCGCACGAAGACGACCACTTGAAAAACCCATTTATTTGGAAACTTTAGGTCCTTTTTAAATAATAATAATAATAATAATGAAAATAAATAAATAATTTTTTAAAAACCGAAATCCGGGTCTGTTGTTTTGGGAGATGCTTTGAGATACTCAGGCAATATTGGTGGTGTCCCATCCTCGGGGTAGGTGGGGGCCCTCCGATCTCTCCAAGCGTGTAATCTTGAGGGGGGGGGGAGGCTGTCTTTTACGTTGCCCCCCCCATCTTTTTGGTGACTGCTTGAGAGGATAAGACACACCTGGGGAGGGATTTTGCAATTAGAGAGATGAGATCTCCATGCTTTGCCTCATAACGTCTAGTCCTCGCCTTACGACCCCAAAGGAGCCTCAGATTTATGTCGCTAAGCGAGACAGCCACTAAAAGTGATCTTCCCCCCCAACTGGATGAACTTTTTTGGGCTGTCGTCGCTAAGTGAATCGCTGCAGTGAAGCTAGTAATGTGGTCGCTAAGCGAATCTGGCTTTCCCGTTGATTTTGCTTGTCAAAACGGGATCACGTGATCCTGGCCACCGTCACAAATATGAACCAGTTTCCAAGGCGCCTGGATTTTGATCACGTGACCACGGGGATGCGTAAGTGTGAAAAAAGGGTCCTAAATGGTCATTTTAGTGCCGTCGTGACTTCGGTCACTAAATGAACAGTTGTAAGTTTGGGGATGATTTTCCGCCTTCCAACCCAGGGCCTCGCTCCCTCACTGTTTCTTCCATCTCTCTGAAACCTCTTCATGTTTTACGTCATTTCATATTAAATATTCAATTAATATTCAACTGTTTTTCACAATTACCAGCATCCTGACGATCACGGGATCAAAATTTCTGGTGTTGGGCAACTGGCGTGTATTTATGATTTCCAAAAAATCAACAGAGGATGCCAGATTTGCTTAACGATCACATCATCCACGGCAGGATTTCACTTAACAACTGTGGCAGGAAAAGGGAGTAAAATCGGGCAAGACTCGGTTAACAATTTTGGCTTCATGGACATTTTGGTTCAGTGATTAAATGCAATTTTTTTTTTACTACTGGTTCTATGGGCGTGGCTTGGCGGGCATGGTGTGGCTTGGTAGGTGTGGCTTGGTAGGTGTGGCTTGGTGGGCGTGGCTTGGTGGGCGTGGCAGGGGAAGGATACTGCGAAATCTACATTCCCTCCCCACTCTGGGGCCAGCCAGAGGTGGCATTTGCCGGTTCTCCGAACTACTCAAAATTTCTGCTACAGGTTCTCAGAACCACTCAAAATTTCTGCTACCAGTTTTCCAAGCTACTCAAAANTCAGCATCTTCTTCCTGTCCATCCTCTCCCACTCCGTCCCACCACCCAGGGCCAAGAATATCATAGATGGTAGACCCAATCTTGAAGTCTACTCGGGCATCTTCTTCCTGTCCATCCTCTCCCACTCTGTCCCACCACCCAGGGGCCAAGAACATGGTGGAGATGCCAATCTGTTGCCACATCCTATGTGCCCACCTTGGTGGTGGATTGAAGGCCAGATGGGACTGGGCAGTGGTCAGCGATGAAGCTCAGTCCTTGGTGGGTTCCTGAAGACGGTCCCGTCCAACCCCGATCTACTGCTGGGCCTACAGGAAGCTCCAGGTTGAGATTGAAGAGATTTAGAAAGCCAACATAATTTCTGATTTCAGATGGAAAAGCCGGAGAAATGCTTGACTGGTAGTCCTCGACTTACGACCACAACTGAGCCCGAAATTTCTGCTGCTAAGTGAATCATCATTTTTTAAAAAAAACCATTGCATGATTTTTTTCTTGCCACCTTTGTCGTCACGGTCGCTAAACGAACCGTTGGAAGTCGAGGACCACCCGCATTCACAGATGTTCCGTATCTCAGCCTCCCGTATGGGTAGGGACCTCGGGAAGAATTTAAAAAATATGGATATTTTTGCTCTCAAGAGTGGCGTTGAGCACTGGTACTTGGGGGACCAAGTACGCCGGTCGGACCATGGACCACCTCTGGATCTGAGTGGGCGGGGTTTTATTCCCAGGATCTCGGACCGTGATGGCGAACCTTTTCGGCACCGATCGCCGAGAAAGGAGCACTTCACGCACGCCCGTCTGGTCCGCGATCGGGAAGAGGAGCTGCCCAGGGAACATCCATGGGCCGGAAAATAAACTTCCAGTTTGCAGGGGCCGTCAGCAAGTCTTCCGGTGACTGCCGCGCTTGTGCCGATCTCGGCTGGCGTGTATGCTCACGGCGGAAAACGGAAAACCAGATCTTTTGGTTTCTGGCACTGCCGCACGCACGAAGGCCAGCCGATTGCCGTTTGTGCACGCGCACCAGAAACCCAGAAGAGGAACGGGTGACGCCGCATGTGCCAGGTGACATGGCTCCACGTGCCACTTCGGACATGCGTGCCATAGTTTTGCCATCCTGGGTCTAGGAGCAGGTCTGAACACGAGCCAGGCGCCTTCTCCCCCTCTAGGCCTTTTCCGCAGCCTCTTCCATTCTCCGGGGACCAGTTGCTTCTGAGCCCAAGAACAGGGCCTGCACTCCATAGGGAAGACCCCTTCCTCTCCTTTGAGGCGCACTGATGACCTCCGGGTAGCCCGCTGCTGGATGCTGGCATTCCTGTGCCAAATGCTCTCTTTTTTCATGCGGGGGGGTGCCACTGCGTTGCTAGAAGGTTCTTTCAACCGGGGTGGGGGTGGGAGTGGGGGAGCCAGCTTGTTGGCAGGGGGGCTATTTCGAACTAGCCCCCAATCGGAACCTTCCAGCACTTCCTTTATCTCCCCCCCCCCATTTTTAAAAAATTTGCTCCGTTTTGCTATCCGCTTAGACCAAGGGTCTCCGAAGTTGGCAACTTTAAGACTTGTGGACTTCAACTCCCAGAATTCCAGAAATTAAGACTTATGGACTTCAACTCCCAGAATCTCAGAGGTTAAGACTTGTGGACTTCAACTCCCAGAATTCCAGAGGTTAAGACTTGTTAACTTCAACTCCCAGAAACCCAGAAGTTAAGACTTGTTAACTTCAACTCCCAGAAACCCAGAAGTTAAGACTTGTGGACTTCAACTCCCAGAATCTCAGAGGTTAAGACTTGTGGACTTCAACTCCCAGAATTCCAGAGGTTAAGACTTGTT